ACCCTATAGCCCCCTCCTGCCCCACAGCCCCCTCCTGCCCTCAAGCTTTGCCCCACAGAGCCCCAGACACCCCAGGTCCGCAGGTGCCGGATCCAGCCCCAACACCGCCCTGTACCAACCGCCGTTTATTTGAGTTCATCCCAACCCACCACAAATAAATACAAAGAGGCACCCGCGGGTGCTGCCGTCTGGGGTACAGGAGAGCCAGGGGACGCCTGCCAGGGTGCTGGTCACAGCCCCACAGCTCTGCTCATCACCCCACAGCTCTGCTCATCACCCCACAACCGAGGGCACGGGGACAGCAGGGTGACACAGCCGAGGTGCACCCGCCTCCCCCAACCGGATCCGTGCGGGAAAAAAACCCAAAATCAGCCCAAAATGGGTAAAAACAGCACCAGGGGCTGAGCTGGCGCGGGGTGGGGGGACAGTGTCAGCTCTGGGGGTGTCACCTGGAGCCAGCACCATCCCAGGGTGGTGGCCAAGGCCACCTGGGGGACAGGGCTGCCGCTAGCTCCGGCGGGACCCAAAATCAGCCCAAAATGGGTAAAAACAGCACCAGGGGCTGAGCTGGCGCGGGGTGGGGGGACAGTGTCAGCTCTGGGGGTGTCACCTGGAGCCAGCACCATCCCAGGGTGGTGGCCAAGGCCACCTGGGGGACAGGGCTGCCGCTAGCTCCGGCGGTACAGGCGGTCCCGGGTGGCCACGCTGACCTTCTGCTGGTAGTCCTCCATCTTCTCCTGCAGCTTCTGGTAGAGCTGGGCCAGGGAGGGCAGAGCAGGTGTCAGAGAGGAAGAGTTCCCACTCTCCTAACCCCATCACTGCCACTTCCCCCTCCCTGTCACCCCTCAGTGGGGTGCTGGTGACCTACCACGACGTTGTGATGGTTGGTGGAGCTCTCCTGCAGGGCCCGGAGCAGCTGGTCGATGGCAGTGTAGGGCAACCACACCATGGGGGCTGTGGCTGACAGTGGGAACTGGAGGGAAGAGGAACCCTCATGTCACAAGATAGAGCAGAAATGCTCCTCACAGTGAGGAAGAGCTCCCAACTACCATGTTCCAACACCCCCCAAGGTCTCACTAAGAGGTGTTTTCTCTAGGGTGACTTTATCCACATCTGTGAAGCACTGAAATCATGGGACACAACACCCAAACCCCAAGCAGGAACTGCCCCAAGGAAGGGTCCCCAGGCTCACCTCAATTCCAAAATACTGGTGCCCTTTGCCCAGCACAGCATCCACGTACTCCAGGACCAGCTCCACGGCCTCCTCCAGCAGGTCATAATTCAGGTAGAGCCGCAGGAGCTCAGCAGCATCCACCTTCTGTGAGCAAAGAGGGGAAAAATCAGCCAGGGAACATGCCCAGGAGCCACCATGATGCCAAGAGGAACCTGCCCTGAGCCTCCGTAACAGGCACAAAGCATCTGTCAGGTTTTCCTGGAGCTGGGAATGAAGGTGAGGGTGAACCTTCTCATCACAGAATCATTAAGTTTGGAAAAGACTTCTGAGATCATTAAGTTCAACTGCCAACCCAACACCACCCTGCCCACCAAACCATCACCCCAAGTGCCACATGTTTTTAACAGCTGCAGGGATGGCTCAGCCTGGAGAAGAGAAGGCTCCAGGGAGACCTTAGAGCACCTTCCAGTGCCTGAAGGGGCTCCAGGAAAGCTGGGGAGGGACTTGGGACAAGGGCAGGGAGTGACAGGAAAAGGGTAGATGATTTTAAATCGGAAGGGGGGATGATTTAAATTAGACATTAGGAAGAAATTCTTTCCTGTGAGGGTGGGGAGAACCTGGAACACGTTGTCCAGGGAAGCTGTGGCTGCCCCATCCCTGGCAGTGTTGAAGGGCAGGTTGGATGGGGCTTGGAGCAGCCTGGGCTGGTGGGAGGTGTCCCTGCCCACGCAGGGGGGTTGGATCTAGATAATCTTCAAGTTCCCTTTCAACCCAACCCATTCCATAATTCTATGGTGACTGCACCCCTGCCTTGGCCAGCCTTTTTCCAACACTTGACCACTCTTTGAGTCAAGACATTTTTTCCACTCTCCAATCTAAATGGCTTAGATGGATATCAGAGGACATGGCTGCCCAAAGAGGAGGTGCCTGTGGAAGCCAAGATGGTCTGATAACTCCAGGAAAACCTCGGATGTGTTTTTTTTTTTTGGCGTGTGCCAAGCGCTGAACTCACCTTGTAGCTGTTGATGAGCCAGTTGGGCAGAGGGATCCCATGGGCCAGGAGCTTGTTGATGACACAGCGATGGTACAGGCTGTTCTGGGATGGGTGATGCTCCAAATAGGCAGAGAGCAGCCGCCAGGCTTCATCCGTGGCGCTGCAAGGACAGGATTTTCCCTCGGGATCCACGCCAAGCAGCCCCGGTCACCGCCTGCCAGGCCACCACCTGCTCCAGGGCACCCTGTCCCCCTGCCCAGGCTCAAGGTGTTGCCTCAGCCCTCCCGGCTGGGATAGAGATCAGTTTCTTCTGAGTGGCTAGAACAGAGCTGGGTTTGGGATGTGATTTGGGATTTGGGATGAGGCAGGTGGGACAGAGAACAAGCGGAGCCAGCGGGAGGTTCCGGATCACGCACAATGTCGTGATGGTGAGGGTTGGTGGGAAGCCCTCCCCTCTTCCCAGGATGAGGGTTTTGGGGCTTTTCTCCCCTGTGGGATTGCAGTCAGGGCTGGGCTGGGCGTTGCTCAGCACTGACACCATACATGGCTCATTTACACTTCCTATTATTACTATCACTGCTTTATTTCAATGATTAAAGGGTCTGTATCTCACCCCACGAGTCTCTCTACCTTTACTTTTCCTATTCCCTTCCTCTCTCCCTGGGGTTAAAACCAGGACAGGAGATCATAGGGGTGGCAGGGAAGCCCTGCTCTCCCCCACAGCCCCAGTCCCATAGCTCCATTTTAAGGCCCTTTTAGCATCAGCCTGTGACCCTCAGGATTCCTGCAAGGCTCCAGAAGTGTCCCTGTCACCTCCACTCTTCTCCCCAGGACCTACCTGGACTCCTTGGTGGTAACCAGGGTGGAGAGCTGGTTTGCAGCCAGCCAGTCCCAGGCCTCTGCCTGCACTGCCTCCCCTCCCAGCTGCAGCTTGATGCACCTGCAAGACAGAGGGGTTGCAAAGGTGGGTGCCCCTGGAGCCCCCTGCCCCACCCCCTGCAGCCAGTGTTGAAGCCACCCCTGGCTTCACTCCAAGGAACTGAGCCAGGAACTGGTGGCTGGGCAGGAACAGGAAGCTGGTGGTGATTGCTGAGCTGCTCCAAGTGCCAGAAAGGAATGAATAATGACTCTGGTGGGAGCTCTAGGGCCCAGGTTTGGACAAGAAGTGTGCTCTGGGCATCCAGCCAGAGGAACAGGGCACAGCAGAGCTCCTGAGCAAGCATGATGCATCTTCTGGAAGGTCAGAGAGGTGAGGAAGATGAGGCACACAGACTGCCCACCACTATTTATGAGCTACTCAACAGCTGCGACAAATCTGGGAGCAGCTCACGGAGCACCAGCAGGACTGGGGCATGAGCCTGCTCACCACAAAGGTCTCCAGATGATGGTTGTGCCTGGGCTGGCACCTACCCCTGAGACCAGGGACAAACCTCTTCCCTCCACCACCTGGCTCCCTTTTTTTTTTTTTCCTTTTTTAGGTGCTAAGAGCAAGATCCACCTCAAACCCACGAAGCAGGAGGCTGGGCATGGCCAGCAGGCAGGTCAGGACAGTGCTGGCTCCTGAACCCGGGGAGCTGCAGGACCTGCCAGGCCCCATGCAGGGCACATCTCCCCAAGCCTGAAGAGGAAAGAGAAGCTGGCCACCTACTTGAAAGTGAGTCCCTCAAAGATGGGTGTCAAGGACAGCTTGAACGTTTGGCACAGAGTGACAGCGGTGTCGAAGAGGCCGGCCCGGATCAGCAGAGCAAGAGTTTCCTCAGGAGTAGAGTTGCCTGCAGGGAAGGAGGACCAGGTTTGTGCCCAAGACACCAGCCACATCCTTAAAACTCCTTCCTCACACAAAACTTTTGACTTTAATCTCACAGATCACAGGAGGCTGAGGGGAGACCTTCTCACTCTCTGCAGCTGCCTGAGAGGAGGTTGGAGCCAGGGGGGGTCGGGCTCTGCTCCCCAGGAACAAGGGATGGGACAGGAGGAAATGGTCTAAAGTTGCAGCAGGGGAGGTTTAGGTTGGATTTTGGGAGCATGTTCCTCACTGAAAGGGTCACTGAACACTGGGCCAGGTTCTGGCCTCTGGGTCAGAACAAAATTGCTGCTTCCTCAGCTGAGCTGTGACTGAAAAGTGCTGTAAGGAGCAAATGAAACCTGAGGGAAGGGAGAGGTAGCCGTGCTGTGTCCCCCTTACCTGCCACAGCTGCTGTTGACAGGTCATGCTGCACCAGAGTCAGCCGGATCCGGGCCAGGACACTTTCCCTCTCCAAATCCTCCAGCTCCAGGATCTCGATCTGGCGAGTTGCTGCAGGAGATGGACACAAAGGGCTCTCAGTGTTCTGAAAAGGCCTCGCTGGGCAAAATGTTTACACCTCTCTGCTGTCCTCAGAGGATTCGTACCACAAAAAGCACCACAGGAGAGGTTTTGCTGCCTTGAACTGTGCCCATCTCCTGGACACAAACCTTGATTCCTCCTCTGAGATGTTATCTCATGTGTGGTGACAGCTGCTGCTCTATCTGCTAAGTATATGCTAAGATCCCCCTCAAATTATTGATGTGACAGAGGTGAGAGCTGCTCTGAGCCATCCCCCAGCTCCCAAGGGAACAGCAAGAGCTCTGAGGCCAGGGGAGAGGCTGTGGAAGCACAATAAGGACCAGGACTGGGCACTTACTGGGGACAGCTGTGCACTCCCCATCGTGGCTTCTCTTCGGGGATGCTCCTGGGCGTTCATACTTGCAGGAAAAAGCAGAGAGGAGTGTTTATGCCCACCTGGTTTCCAAAGGACAAATGTGCTACAGCCCCAACTCCAGCTCTCTGACTGTTTCAAGCCTGGATTTGAATCAGGAAAGCCCTACAGCCACTGGGTGGCTCAGGTTACTCTTATCTCTGGCTAACAGAAGCAGGGCACAGCAGCTGATCAGGGTGCAGTCACCACCTCCCCAGCAAACAGGTCTGAAACACAAACCACGTGCCAATGATTCCCCTTTTGTCCGGTATTCCAGGGCTGTTCAGATTCCCCAAAAAGGTGAGAGATACACCCCACTCCCATCCCAAAAGCTGTCCTGCCTCCACCCAAAGGGGCAGTGACACAAGGGTGATGGGTGGGACTGAGGAGCAGGGCAGGATGGTGCTGCCCAAGAAGACAAAGGCAGCAGGTGGAGGCAGCCAGCAACCTCTCAGATCAGCCCCTCAGATCAGGAAGGATTTGGGAAGCTCCTTCCCAAATGCCCAGCTGTAAGCACCACCCCCCCAGGCAGCAGCTCAGGTCAGAGCTGAGCTCAGCACCATTCCCTACCACAGCTCCTGATACTGGCTGCACTATCCAGGCGTACTGGGGGCGGATCAGGCGCAGGCAGTTGATGGCAGCAAGGAAACAATTCCCCTGTTTCTGGAGCCCCCGCAGCGTCCGCACCTCCCGGCCCAGCCGCATCCCGTACTCAAACATCACCGTCCCAGCTGAGGGGAGAGGGGAGAATAGGCTCAGCCAGGAGCAGGGAAGGGGTGTCCCAGGAAGAGGGGGGGACCCCCTCCTTGGCCTTACCCTTGCGGTAGTTGTTGCGGTAGATGTGGAAAGCGTAGAGCAGCTCGTAGTAGTTGTGGGTCATCAGGTCCACGGCTCGAGCGTGTGACTCGATGATCCCCACCACCTGTGGGGACACCAGAGGCTCCAACAGGTGGGCAACCCCTTTCAGGAGGGAGGTTATGGCCTCCCAGTGCAGACCCCCAGGATGTCATTAGGAGGGTTGAACCCCGATTACCTCGTTATCCAGGTTGATGTAAAAGGAAACTCCACCAGGTCCTGGAGCTGGGAGCGCTCACACAGAACCACCACTAGCTGGCGTAGACAGTCCAGCTGCCTGTGGAGAGGGATGGAACTGTCTGGAGGAGCAGGAACAAACCCACGCTGCTTTCTGATGAGCTCTCCCCTAGGGGGTATTTTTCTGGCTTAGGACCAAGAAGTCCCTTCAGACTTCTCCTGTGCTGGAAATGGAGATCCTGGGCAGCAGGGATCCTCTGCAAAGGTCTCTCAGAGGGACAGTCTCCCTCTCTCAGCTCTATTTGGTAAGATTTTCTTCAGCCTCCATCCAAATGCATTCCTCCTTCTCTGAACACCTATTCCAGGAATTCCTGCTCATCACATCCTCCTCTGCTGGGGGAAAGCTTTCTCTACACAGTGCACAGAATCATGGAATGGTTTGGGTTGGAAAAGCCCTTTTAGACCCTCCAGCCTACACGTTCCCCCAGCCCTGCCCAGGCCACCACTGCCCCATGTCCCTCAGCACCATCTCCAGGGCTTGGAGACCCCTCCAGGGATGGGGACTCCCCCTCTGCCCTGGGCAGCCTGGGCCAGGGTCTGACAAACTTTTGGGTGAGGAATTTTTTCCTCATATCCAATCTAAACCTCTCCTGGTGTAGCTTGAGGCCATTTCCTTGTCACTTGTTCATTTCCCAGAGGGTCCTCAGGCTGAAAATCCAACTCCCAAGTCTTTTCCTTACCAAACTAAACTGGCTGGACTGCTACAGCTTTTCAAGATACAACACCAAAAAAGGATCATGTAGCCTTTTTTCTTTTGGCTCTTCCCTGAACCAGCTTTTCCTCCCCCCTAGTTTCCTCCTTCAGGAAAGCAGATTCCAGCTGTTCTTACAGAAATGAAGAGGGCTTTTTTAAGCACAGCCACCTCTTCCTTTCAGTTTGATGGGAAAACTGGTTCACAGACCTCTGAGACAAGCAAGTTTATAGGTGTAAAACTGCCCCCTACCTGCTGGGATCTGGGTTTTGTGTTAAGGCCACGTATGCTTCACTGTTGTGTCCCAAATCCAAGTGATGTTTGAAGATGCAAGTCCTCAACATAGCCTGGAAACGCCAAAGGGCACAAAGTAGGATGTTTTGAGTTATACGGCTGAAAATAAAAGCCCAGGGAAGGTCCCCAAAGGAAAATCTTGATGCAAAGGAAGTACCTGGCTCCTCCAGTCATCTGCAGATTCCATGATGGCCAAGGTGGCCAGCTGGATGACCAGCTCTGGCAAACCCACCATTTCCAACAAGCGCAGAACCTGGAGAAGACAATGTGGGCTGCAGCAGCACTGAGGAATGAGTTGGGTTGGCAGGGGCTCTTGTTTGTTAGAATCAAGAGCTACTCCTGCTCCTCTTAAACCTAAGAGCAGTCAAAAGATTCTTGCCACTGGAAAAGGAAAGATTTGGCTAAGTTGCTGAGATCTGAACCAAATCCCGGGACAACAGGTCCAGGCTAAAGCTCTTCTGGAGGGTTCAGCTCTGCACGTGTGAGTTTTCTGACACATTTTAGCACTGATGGTTACAATAAAGTCCAGTGACAGAGGTAAATGATTCAGTTCTCAAGCACACACAGAGCTGTGTGAGACAGAGATGTTCTCCCTCCAAGGGCACCCAACAACCTTTGTGTTTTATGCATTTTAAAATCAGGGAATCCCTTTAAAAATGAGCCTGGGTCCAAGCTCCAAGGTTCAGCCTGTCTGAACAACGGTATGATGCAAAACCAAAGATGCTATCTCAATTTAAAGACATTCATTTTAATTTGCCTCAAAGCTGAAGAACTTTCCCCTTGAGCAACATCTTCCATCGAGCCCAGACATGTCTGGCTTCTGCCTCCAGCAGCTGGATCTCATCCCACCTTTTTCTGATGGATACCAAAGCCATTTTGGGAAGCTAAGGGGTGGAAAGCACCGAGCACTCACACCAGTCACCTCACCATCACCCTCCAAAGAAAGTAAACAGATCATGCTGAGGTTTCACTTCCTGTGAGAGAGTCTGTTTTCTCAGTCTCAAGTCACTTCCCTGAGAGCTGGGAACAAGGAATTCTCTGTGGAAGGACTTGGTGCTGATTTCCTTGGTTTGTACCTTGTTGTAGTACTGCAGGCGTGGAGTGGAGATGATTTCCCCCTCCTCAGGTTGGATCAGCCTGTCCAAAAACTCTTCTCTTCCCACCTCTGAGGCTGCTTGGCAGAAACAATCCAAAGCCTGGAAGCAGACCAGAAAGCAGCTGGGTGTGTGTCCCCTGGGGCACTGACCCAGCCAATCAGAGAGAGGACAGGGCTGCTCCATCCAGCTCCACTGTCCAAAACCTGCTGGCCCTGAGTGAAGGAGAACTTGGAGAGGAGGAGAGCAGGGCCTTACCTTGTGTGCCTCCCCCATCACCAGGTAGCAGCGGCCCAGCATGAAGCGGCAGGAGCCCATGTTCACGTGGCACCAGGGCTGCAGCAGGCGGATGTATTCCTAGAGGGAATAGGAGGAATGGGAGGTTCTACTCAGGTCAGAGCTCATGTGTGACCTGCAGGAGCCCCAGGGCAGAGGCAGGGTTAGGTCTCCAACACCAAAGTGTTAATTTTGAGGCTCCCTCAGCTGCAGTGCTCACACAGATTCTACTCTTTTCCCCTCAAAGTCCCCTCGGTGCATGGATGGGCAGAGATCTCTCACATATTCCTGGGGAACAACCTACTTTGAATAGTCACAAAATCATTAAGGTTGGAAATGACCTCTAAGACCATCCACTCCAACCATCAACCCAACACCACCGTGCCCACTAAACCATGTCCCCAGGTGCCACATCTACACATTTTCTGAATACCTCCAGGGGTGGTGGCTCCAATCCTGCCCTGGGCAGCCTGTTCCAACAATTGACCACCCTTCCAGTATAGAAATTCCTCTCAAGATGCAATCTAAACCTTCCCTGAGCAACCTGGGAGCATTTCCTCTTATCACTTCTTATGAGGGAGAAGAGACTGACCCCTCCTCACTCCAATCCCCTTCAGGAGGCACAGAGCCTGAGCAGGAGCAGGCGTGTGTGAAGGCAGCAGGAGACCCAGCAAAACAGGACATAGGAGAGCAGCCAAGGAAGAGTAGGGCTCACAGCAACAAACTGCAAATTAATCCACAACACAGACTCAACCTGGCCCCCTGCCTGCTCTGCCAGGCTGATATAAGGGCTGCAAAGTGTCATCACCTATTGAGGAGCAGCCAGGAGGCACGGTGACAACTCCAAAGCTGGCATCCCTTGTGCCTGGGAGAGTGGAGTATGCTCTTCCTACACGGAGAAGCAGAGATGTCCCACTCGCAGGGCCCTGGGACCCAGCAGGAAAGGAAGAGGAGAAGCCAGGACCCAGAGGTAAAGCCAAGGTTTCACCAGCCATCCTGAATCTTCACACATGCCTCACCTCCCCTAACCACAGGTCTGCTCAAAGCCACGTGGCAACACATCCCCTGAGCCTGGAATCCCTGCCTGGATCAGCCAGATCCAGATCCATGACACCCCAGGCTGGTTTAACAGCTTGTCACACAGAATAAGCAACAAGGAGAGGTTTGGCCCTTGTCCCAGGCTAGTGCTCTGGTCACTAGAACTTCTTCATGCCCATCAGTTACTCACAGGTGCCTCCTTTATTGTCCACCTTTATTTGGGTCACCACCCTGCTCACTCTCACAGCAAACCCAGAGTCAGTTCCCTGAGGTCAACACACTTAATCCCAAGTATACGTGACTGACTGGGATCAGGAAGCCTGACAGAAGGTAGCAGGGAGGAGGAGGCAGAGAGAAAAGTCTCTGGGATCTCCTGGAGGTGAGACACAAGTGAGGCAAAAGCAATGGGAGGTGATTCAAACCCCTGTGCACACGTGGCAGGAGGAGGCTGCCCAAGCCCTCCCGGCATCTCCTGGCTCAAAAGCTCAATGGATTTGACATTCTTCTCAGCAGCCACGTGAAGACAAAAGGAAGAGGCTCAGCCCCCAGGTGAAAGGGACTGAAAGAAGAAAAGAGCCTGCTCAGCACAGGGAGGAAAAAAACCCAACACAACAGCATGTTAACACCAGCCCTGTGTGCCCCTGGTGAGGGAAGAACCGCGTCACGTGGCGCTGCAGACACGGACGGTGCCGCTCGGAACTGGGGCACGAGCTGCTGCAGCCCCCGGGGCCCTGGAGGGCACGGGGAGGGATGTGGGGAAACAGCTGGTGTGGTGGAGCAGCACTGTGTGGGAACAGCTGGGACCAGGCAGCTCCCTGGCCCTGCTGCCAGGATGCTGAGAGTGCAGCCGGGGCTGGAAACGGGATGGATGTTTCTGGCAATGTTTCTGAAGTCATTTCATTTCAGAAAGAGATGAGTCCCCCCTGAAGCAGCACTTCTGCTGCTGGGCTGAAGGCAGGGCTGGAAGCCCCAGGTCCCACAGCAGCTGCTGGGTTAGGGGCTTGCTCAGGTATTTAAATAAGCTCCACAAAAATATTCCTTGCACAAAGAACCAGGCTGCTGGACAAGCCAACAAGAAGGGCAACACAAGCTGGCACCGTGGGCTGGCAGCACAGAAACCAACTGTGTCTTGGGCTGTGTCAAGAGGAGTGTGGGCAGCAGGGCCAGGGAGGGGGTTCTCCCCCTTTATTTGGCTCTCTTGAGAGCCCACCTGGAGAGCTCTGTTCAGTTCTGGAGCCCCCAATGTAAGGAGGACAGGGGGCTCATGGAGAGAGTCCAGAGGAGGCCACAAAGATGATCCAAGGGCTGGAGCAGCTCTGCTCTGGAGACAGGCTGGGAGAGTTGGGGGGGTCAGTCTGGAGAAGAGAAGGCTTCAGGGAGACCTTAGAGCATTTTCCAGTGCCTGCAGGGGCTCCAGGAAAGCTGGGGAGGAACTTCAGGAATTTATGAGGAAATTCTTCCCTGTGAGGATGATGAGACCCTGGCCCAAGTTGCCCAGAGAAGCTGTGGCTGCCCCATCCCTGGCAGTGTTGAAGGGCAGGTTGGATGGAGCTTGGAGCAACCTGGGCTGGTGGGAGGTGTCCCTGCCCATGCAGGGGTGGGACTGGATCATCTTTAAGGTCCCCTCCAACCCAAACCATTCCATGGCTCTATGAATCCCTGGCAGGCTGGATTCCTCCACAAAAAGGGCACAGAGTAATCCCAAGCACTTACGCCTGGATTTTCTTGAAAAGAGATGAAAGAGGAAATGCACAAACCCACCACCTTCAATTATTCCATCTTCTGCAGCAATTTCTATTTAGCCAGAAGCCCTGGTTAGCACAGGTGGACACCCCAGGGAATGAGAGGGATGCAGGAGGAAGATATTTCCTACCTTACCATTTGTTCCCTGCACTGAGATGGTTACAAGAGATATTTTTTTTAACTCTTCCCTTTCCACCTGCTGGGAGAGAGCCAGAGGGAAGCACTCACCTGGAGCTGGGTGTACTGACAGCTCCCCATCAGGCACTCTGGGAAGAGGAAGCTGGGATTGCTGGGCCATCTGAGCCAAAGTTAAGGAAAAGAGGACAATCCAGTCTGGAGAACCTGGAGAACTAGTCTGAAAGCCAGTGTGCCTCTGGCATTCAGCTTCTGGGGGGAAAGGAGAGAAGATTAAACTGCTCTTTGTACAAGTCATTTAATTTTTAATGAGATTTATCCATATTAGAACAAAACCATTAGTCCATCTAATCCATAACTGCCCAAAGCCTGTTACCCTTCCAAATCTCCACCTTGCCAAGGCAAGTTGCTAAAGCTCAAGGGGCTCAAAGTCAAGAACTCCAAATCCTTTACTGTGCACCCAGATGGGACGGATTCTGGGAAATCTTAAAATACTCACAAATCCCATTAGCACTAACAGCAGTCACTTGTTTGCAAGACTTATCTTCAGAATTTGGGTGTGGAAAACATTGATCTTGGAACTCTGGGAGGCTTGGTGGTGATGATGGCCAATATAGTCCCCAAGCACTGCATGGGCTACCACCATGACACCCCTGCTAGCCCCAGCCCTCCTCCCACAGATGGAAACTCAGGATTGGGATGCAATCCACAGGTTCACAGCCAAGGATACAGGAGGGGCAGAAAGTCAGTCACCACAGCAGTGAAGAGATGGGGCCAGTTCAAACTTGTCTCAGCCAAAGAAGTGTTTGGTTGCAAGAAGAGTCGAGAAATGATGTGTTTTCTGGCCACTTCTTGAAAGAAGAGCTCCACAATTGTTTGAGGGCTGGATACTACAAAAGAGAAGTTAAAAGAATCACTGAGCAGAAGGTCCCAGGCTCTCTGCTCACCCACCCCAACACTGGGGATCAAGTCAGAGCAAAACACGAAGCACGTTCAACCCTCCAACTTGTTGGTTTTGGATTTTTCTTGCCGTCTGGTTCTGTCAGGGTGAGCAGCAGGAGATCAAAGAGCCACACGCTGCTGTGTTTATTAACCACAGCTCAATTAGAACACCAACAAGAAGGGCTGTGCTCTCTCTCCAGCCGTGTTCTTCACAGCCCAGCTGCAGCTTCCCAGCCCCACGGAGTGCCTGGCAGGGCAGGGCTGTGCCAGTGCTGATCCAGCTCAGCTCCAACCCCTCCCTCCTCATCCCAGCCCCCTCAGCACTCCAGTCCCCCTGGAGCCAACTGTTCCCAACGCCTCTCCCCAGGCTGCCTCCTCCTTTCCACCTTCCTGACGTTCCACATATTTTTCCTGCAGCACAGGGGGGCCCAACAGGCCTCTCCTCACACGCAGGCCAAGAGCCAACCCACAACACCAGCATAGACAAAGGACGTTCTCAATTTCACATTCATGGGCTGACATTTATGCAGAGGCCACTCGCCCCCCCCCCGAGCCCAGCCCCTCATTCCAGGGGAGCTGGGACTCTGAAAATCTCAGCTGGCTTTATGACCAGCACAAATGCCCCAGGCTGGTCAGAAGGCAGAGGAAATTCTGCCCCAGCTTACAACCCTCCACATGAGGCACTGTTCCCTCTTTGTGACCCACTTCTTCTGCTCAGAGGTGGCTCAGCCCTGCAGGTTCCTCCCAGCAGGCTCTTACCTGAGCATTTTCTCCCCTACCCTACTCTCCACTTGCCTCTGTAACCACTTCAAGCTACACAGCCTCCGAATTAGGCTGCCTGGTATCTTTCCCTGTCAGGATTTCTCCCTCAAGACAGGGCACATCTCTGCAGCCAGACTTCGACATGTGCACAAATTATCAGGAGCAATTTCCCCCTTGAGGTACTGGCTGTGAGCAGCACTCAGGTCTGAACTGCAGAGCACACGTGTTTTGGGGAAGTATATTCTCCCACTTCTCTGACCTGCTGCTGCTCCTGCTTGTTGTGGGGTAAAGGCTCAGGAGCAAGAGACCCGCTCTGCCCCCCCACAGCCACTGCAATGCAGGGGAGTGAGCTGTGAGCTCCAGAATCAATAACAGCTCCTAGAATAATGGAACAGTTTTGGTTGGAAGGGGCCTTAAAGATCATCTAGTTCCAAGCCCCCTGCATGGGCAGGGACACCTCCCACCAGCCCAGGTTGCTCCAAGCCCCATCCAACACTGCCAGGGATGGGGCAGCCACAGCTTCTCTGGGCAACCTGGGCCAGGGTCTCCCCACCTTCATACTACAGAATTTCTTTTGGCTGAGTGAGGCCTTCTCATCCCCCTCAGGCTGAGAAGATCCACATCTCAGTACACATTGTTGTTACTGTTGTTTTTTTGGTGGCCAGCACAACACACATCTCTAGGTAATGCAGAGTCATTCAACTCCAGACTTTATCAGCTCAGGGCAGGAGGCATCTCCCTCAGGTGACAGGGACACAGAGTGGAAGGGGTTTAAGTGACCAAGGGAGAGGTGATGATCTGAGGGCACCTTACCCAGCTTGTGGGGTGTCAGAGCAGTGGTGTCTGCTAACTCCAACACAGAGAGATGCTGCAGGTTGGATTCCCTGGGGAAGAAAAAGCCATCAGTTGGAGAAGGCAACAAAACACCCCCTGCTTTAATTGTGCTCATTGTTCAATGACTCCTACGGCTGAACCAGGCAGTGGTGCCCAGAACAGCCAGGCAGGACCAGCACGAGGCAGCTCCAAACATGCCAAGGGGAAAAAAAAACACCACAACAATCAAAAAAACCACCCTCCCCTCAGCACAACCCGAGTCCTACAGTGACACTCCCACAGCAACCATCAGCTCTTCCTATCAGGAAGGGTTATTTCAGGTGGCTTCAAAAGGAAAAGAGAATCTTTCCCAGCTGGAAGGGGCAGTGGGGGAGACTCACAGGGTGTCGATGGGGACGTCGGCCGCCAGGCACTGGCTGGCCCAGCGGATCAGGTAGTAGGAGAGCAGCAGGGGAGAGGTTCTGTGCAGCAGGTCCTGCTGCTGGGACTGGAAGAGCTGTCCCCCTCCCAACACCACCTGCAAGGAAACCAGAGCTTGGCTCAACAGGCACAGCAGTGAGAGCTCAGCTCAGCCCTCTTGCCTGCACCAAGGCGGGCAACAATCCCCTCAACCCAGCCAGGGGACCAGCAGGATAATCCTGGTGGAAATCACATCATCACCTCAGGACCAAAGGGTGGGTTAACTGGGCCAGGAAAAGCCATGTGCACACTCAGTGCTTCCCTCTGGTGCCAGGGACACCAGGAAAAAGGTGTCTGATGCTGCTGCAGTAACATCACAGTGTGAAACCACAGCTTCACTGCAGGGACCACCTCTGGGCCCAGCACCCCTGAGTGCTCCAGCTGAGGGAAGCCTGGCCAGGTGACATGGGAGGAAAAGCAGCCCATGGTTTGGAAGGACACGAGGTGACAAAGCAGAAGCTCCTCATCAAGCAAGCAGCAGGTCACACACCTTCTGGTCTGCAGAACCTGGCTTCAGAAGGGCACCTTGCTGCAATGCCACCAGGGCAACCTTATCCAGGAAGGAGGGGATTTCTCTTCAACCAAGAAATCTCTCATTAATGTTTTCAGGTAAATAATATTGGTTTAAACAACACTCCCCTTGTCTGAGGTCTTGTTCCACACCCGTGTCCACCCAAGTCACCAGGAGCCACATGGCCAATGGGATGGATCCAAACCAGGACCACAAACATGTGAGCCACCAGCTGGAACAGCCTCACAGGGGCTGGAACTGCAGCCCCTGGGCAAACACCTCTGGAGATCCAGGCTGCAGTGTGTGCTTGCTGGGCTGCGTGTGGCTTGAGGGGAGGGAAGAGCTGGGAGAAACGTACATGCTCAGGCAGCACGTTGTTATAGACAGGAGGCTGGAAGTGATGCCCTCCTCCTGGAAGGAGAGGTTTGCTTCCTGCTTCCTGAGGTGTAAAGAGGGAGTTGTGGTGTGTGCAGCGTGTTGCTGCTCTGCTTGGGGTGATAAAATCAGAGAATCATCAAATCACAGACTGGTTTGGGTTGGAAGGGACCTTAAAGATCACCCAGTTACAAACCCCCTGCATGGGCAGGAACATCTCCCACTAGACCACGTTGCTCCAAGTTTCAACGTGCCCTTGAACACTTCCAGGGATAGGGCACCCACAAATTCTCTGGGCAACCTGGGCCAGGCTCTCACCACCCTCGGAGAGAAGAGTTTCCTCCTTATGTCTAACCTAAATCTCCCCTCTTTCAGTTTAAAACCATCTCCCCTTGTCCTATCACTCCCTGCCCTTGTCAAAAGCCCCTCCCTAGCTTCCCTGCAAATCCCAAAAGCTGCTGGAGGAGAGAAGAAGGCTTCACCCAAGCCTGGGGCTGGTTCAAACAGCCTCCGTTGTGGTGTGGGAAGCTCCAAGCCTGGCAACAGCAGAACCCCACATCCCAAAGTTCAAAGAGCAGAGCTCACAGCTTCCAGGGATGTACTCACAGGGTCCCTGAGCCGCAGCAGAAGCTGCTGGAGGATCAAGAGGTCCCGACAGATGAGGAAACGAAGGGAGGCCACCTTGGAGACCCCCCCGCACACCACGGCCACCGCCGTCCCGCTGCCGTACAGCTGGGCCAGGCTCATGCGCACGCCCAGGTGAGGAGCTGGAAGAGGAAAACCACCTGGGTAAGGGCAGGAAACTAGACCGACCAGAAACCTCACCCTTCTCCAGCCCCAAGGCTCCCCCCGTGGAGCTGTCACCTCTCTCCAGGTCGGTGTCTGTCTCGTAGTCCATCTCCCGGATGAGCACTCCCATGGCATGGATGGGGTTCCGGATCTCCTGCAGTTTGCTGTGTATTTCCTCCAGCACATTCTCCCTGCAAAGGGAAAAAAATCATCATTATCAGCAAGATGAGGAGTTTAAACTCAAGAGGGCTCCCTTTCCTCCTGAACTGATCCTCCCTAGGAGGATCAGCCTGCATGTTCCTGATGGGAATCCTCTTCTGGCTGGGATTTTATTACAGCGCCTGCAGGGACCCGGGTTTATTTATTCCACTCCCTCAGGCTACCAGGAAATGCCAGGCAGATAGCTGGCATTCCACAGGGAATGATCTGGGAGGTGAGCACAGTAACCACATGGCTTGACCAAGGCTCTGACCTCAACCTAGGCTCTGCAGGCACTTGCTTCTCCCACTGCAACCAGCACCTAAGAGGAACTTGTTCCTCTTCTGCTCCATCTCACCTGAGAAACCCCAAAATGCCTTTTCAGGAGGGGCCCAGGCAACAGCAAAGGGGGGTCCTGGAGGAAGCACCAATACCCACACTCCCTGTCACCAAGAGGACCTGGAAGAGTCTCCTCCAGCACAGGCAGAGTCTGCACATCCCAAAAAGCACTTTGATGCCAATCAAAGCCAGCTCCAGGGAATCCCTGCCCAGCCATCTGGGCTTCCCCGCAGGGAAGCTGCTGCAAAAACACCTCCTTCCTTCTACAAAGAGATCTCCTTCCTTCTGGAAAAACATCTCCTTACGTGTCATTAGCTATCAAGTCCTCCATGATCTGCTCTGCAGCCTTTTCTGGAGGCTGGAGGCGGGAACAAGCCATTTCCATGATGAATGCCATTTCCATGGAAATTGATTCTCCGATCAGTCGAAGGCACTGGACAAGACAGACAACATCACGAGACATCTCCAAATCTGTAATGAAAGAATCTAACTGTATATTTACAAGAGATTTCAAAGGGAAGGTGGGAAGACCATTCAAAAACCAGTTAGTTCAGCTCCTGTCAGTTAATTACTAGCAGCAAATTGGTTTTCAGTCAAACCGACCCCTCCCTGCTAACTGCTGAGGCTGAATTAAAACCTGGGAGTTGACAAGGGAAAGATTTGGGCTGTTATTATTTGGAAAGTAAAATGCAAGAAGAAAACAATGAGATTCCCTCTGAGGGACTTGCTTCAGCCCCAGGTTGAAAGGAAGTAATTAGTGCAGTGGAAGAGCAAAAAAGCCCCAGAGCAAAGAGCTCAGATGGCTGAGCTCCACCGAGCTCTCTCCTTCCAGCAAGGATCCATCTGCAGCACCACCCCTTCCAGCCTCTAGGGGATTTTCTCGTTCTTAGAAGTGATCTGGAAGTTCAGTTGAGTTTCAATCCCTGTTTTCCAATCAAGGGGTGTTTTTTGAGAAGTTTGAAACTGTGGGCAGGAGCTGTGAGCCTCCCTAGCCCAGCCCTCCAACTCCCCTGGCCCTCAAGCCAGGAATAGCTCAATCGAACGGATGACGAGTCTCTTTTATAAAAAAATATATATATATAAAAGAATCACTCGAGCATGAAAAGTGGAGCTTAAGTAACATTTTCCGTTGCCTTTCTCTTGTGCAATGTCAGCCCACAGCCAGCACAGCACAGAGGGCACTGTAGGGACAACCTTAATGACAACTTCTGTGCACGCTGACATTTGCTGCCATTTACTGCCTGGGGACAAGAAACAGGACGGTCCCCACTCCAGAGCTGACACAAAAACTTGGATACAAAACCATTTCACTACAAACTGAGACTGCAGAGGAGGGTGGCTGAGCCCAGGGTGCTTGGAGGATCACAAGTCTCCTCCTTGTTTATCATGGAAGGGAATTGTTTGCTGGTCAGAAGCACTAGGGGCTGCATCCTGCTCTCCCCACCAGCACAGGGATGTTGTGGAGCTCCAGCCTGGCAGATCTATCCTAGAGGGCAGGCATGAAGGTGGCACCAGTTCACTAGGAGTTTATGAAGCTACAAAGGGCAAAGGATTCAACCACTGCAGGTCCTGCTCCTGCCACAAGCAGCATGAAATCTGGAATTCTTCCTTTTTTCAGTGAGCTGAAACCAGTCATAGCAGAGTTGCAGCCTCGCCCCCATTTTCCAACTCCTGGAGTGAGCACGACGGCAGGTTTCACCAAACCCAGCTGCCTGAACATGCCAAGCTGAAGGAACTATCTCCATGTGGAGAATTATGGAGTCAGGAGCACCTCCAGAGGCCTCTGTGGAAACTCCCACATCCCTCTGTCCTAGGGCTTTCCCTAGTGTTTCAGCCTCCAACAAGCAAAGACCTCCAGGTCTCCTCACTTACCGTCAAAGATGGCAGCATCGTCCTCAGTCAGGAGGTGCTCGTTGGAGAGCAGGTAGAGATGGTCCACCAAGGAACAGGGCACCAGGAAAGACAGGGAGCCCTGGAAAAGTGGAGAAAGCCCTTCTTTGAGCTCCCCAAATCCACACCTCCATCAGAAGAACTCCACCCCAGGAGATGACCATCTCACCTTCTTCAGCAGGCACACCATGCTGCTGTAGGGGTTCAAGTGCAAGGCCAGGGGCCGTGAGAGGGCTTCCTGGTACTGAAGGCAGCAGGCATAGAACTTGGACCAGAACTCCACCTGAAGCTGCCAGAACTCCTCAGGTGAGCACTCATACTCTGTCACGCTGCCCTGGAACTAGATTTCAGAGAAATACAGGTGGAGAAGACATGATTTTGGGTGAATACAGGTAGTGCAGACATCAGACAAATGCAGGTAAAAGACTGTAGCATTGTGTCTCTCATGACCAGTTTCACACCTTGCTGTGGCTGAGGTTTAGAAACACCAGGTTTGGTTCTCCTCCCCACCACCTATCAAAATGTCCTTTATTTTTCCCCTACAGCAGCAAATCATACAGAAAAATGCCCTTTTTTTGGAACTTCCTGGTGATATTCTGAGCAGCCAGGACTGCTGGCTTGGAGAATCAGGTGTGTCTGGGTAAAATCTGGGGAAGTAGGTGAAAAAAGGGGGAATTCAGAGCCAAAAGGACAGCTCAGATGGGTTCCCTCAGCAGGTTTTCTTCTGGTGCTCCATGCAAAGAGCAGAGGCAGAACACCAAGAAAGAAGGGAAGTCTCCAAAAAAAGAAGAGGCAATGGAAAAGCCAGGCAGGAAGGATGAAGATTTGTACTCTTTTTTAAAAAGTCATATCATTCCTTTTGGAGACATGAAGGACAAAATGGGGCCTTGGGGGCACTTTGCATCTCATTTAACCATCCCAGTGCAATGATGTAGGAAGAAAAGAGCACAAGGACAAAAACATCTCACCTCACTTTCCACGGCCAAGGTCACCTCTCTTTTTAACTCCTCCCATGTCAGATCCATGTGTCTGTCAGTTCCTTGGGAAAAGATCTGGGAAGCAGCACAGGAAACTTTTACTTTAAGGCAAACCCTGAGGGCCCAGGGGTATGGAGGGAGGTAAAGCAAACATGAGAGCATCAGCTGTAGCTTCTGGGGACAAAAGTATGAAAAAACAGGGCTGGCTGAATGTGGGCTAAGTGGGTGTAGTGCCAGTGTCCTGTGGAAATGGGGGAAGCCTCCAGGCAGGCAGTGCACTAGGATGCAAGGAAAGAAGGGCTGCACACCTTCCCAGCACCTCTCTTGCACCTTGCTACAGGCCTCTGTGATGTCCCAACACAAAGAATAAGAAGTGATCAGAGCTTTGGAATTTTGGCTTTTCCACTTTTCCAGAAAAGTCCCCACGTGCTGCCTTGCTCTGCCCTTACTGCCTGCCAGACCTGAGGGGTCCACGCTGAGAAACAGCCCCACAGTGGGCTGGGAGTCTCCCTGTGCCTGGCTGAAGCAGCAGGATGTGCAGAACAAGCTCAGGAACCTGCTGTCCCACAGGAAAACACCTTCTGGAAGCCCCACTCTGCCTCCCACCACCAGCAAGCACCAGCTGCAGTGCAGCACAGAGGCTGCTGGCTGGGTCCAGTGACCACCGGCAGGTCTGGAAACCAGTCAGTGCAAACTGGTGCCTGCTGAGAGCTGCAAGGAATGTTGCTCCTTCACATCTACACAGCCAGGAAGGATAAGCTTAACAGAGAGAGCACCAAGGCCCTCTCACCAACCTGTAGAGCTTTCTGGATGGCTGCGTTGGAGAAGCGGCCGGGTGTGAAGAGATACTCCAGGTAGGTTTCCTGCAAAGAGAAAAGGATCACAATCTGTGGATAAATCAAGGCAGGAGGAGAGGATTTAGGATATTACTGTGCTCCTTCCTTCCCTTCTCACTCATTCCCTGGATTTGGATTTCTCTCCAGCCTCAGTTCACACCCACACCCTGCTCCAAGCTCTCCCCTTCACAGTTCCTGGGACTGAAGACACTTCCCACACCCTCTGGATCTGTGTCCAGGGCCTCTCTCCTGACTGACTCGAAATCCTCTTCATCCCTCAGCTTCTGGCTTCACAACCACACTTTGGTGCTGTGGTGACACAGGTTGTTCCCTTTAATTGGCACAAATTTTAAGACTATATCAATGCAATTTGCACGCTTGAGCTGCCTTGTTCTCCTCCTGGGCAGGGAAGCTTCACTGCTCCTCGTTGCCATTTTCCAGCCAACTCACCCTGGGGTCCTGGTCAGGTCGAACTGTCACCTCCTCCTCAGGCAGTGGCTGCACAAAGACCTGGTTCCACTGGCCCGCCACATTCCTGGAAGGAAAAATAAACCCCAGATCAGCTTTGTGCTGCAGCAAATCCAGGAACAGCCACCCGGACCAAACCTGTCTCTGTCCCCAGCAAACCCAGCCCCTTAGATCTGGTTGAAAGGGGCTTTGAGGAGTGAGAAGTCACAGATTAAGCCAGGAGAGCTCGATGGTGACAGCCCCAGCCCTGAGCTAACAGAACCAGTTGGCTTCCTTCATTCCTATCAATGTTCTCCCCATCACATGTGCTCACCAAGCAGCCCTTTCTCAGGCTAACACTTGCTGCACACCCACAGCATTTTTTTCACCCCAAACCTGCCCTCGCAGCTTCATCGTTTTCACACCACTGGTCTCCTCAAAACATGATCTTCCTTGGAAGAGACCTGCTGGGCATGATTTGAAGGAGCTGCTGGGGAGGCACATCCCTTCCCTCAGACATGCTCCCAGCAGACCCTGCTCCCAGGGAACCTTCCGCCCAGCTTTGGACATTTTTCACATTCCTGCAGCCAAGTTGTAGCTTTGTTATAAAGCTGAACAAAAAAAAAGTTTAAAAAATCCCTGTAAATTGTATTGGAGGAAAAGATTGGGCACCTGACAGCAGAACTGCAAGAGGAAGAACCATGGAATGCTGCATGTCCAGCCAGCAAAGCAGGACAGAAGAGAGGAGGAGCTGGATCCATGTTTTAATGAGCAGGATCATAGAATCATGGAATGGTTTGGGTTGGAGGGGGCATTAAAAACCATCTAGATCCACCCCCCTTGCATGGGCAGGGACACCTCCCACCAGCCCAGGTTGCTCCAAGCCCCATCCAACCTGCCCTTCAACACCCCCAGGGATGGGGCAGCCATAGCTTCTCTGGGGAACCTGGGCCAGGGTCTCACCACCCTCTCAGCACGGAACTTCTTCCAAATATCCTATAGAAATGTCCCTTCTTTCTGCTCAAAACTCTTCCTCCTTGTCTCATCCCTCCCTGCCCTTGTCCCAAGTCCTTCCCCATCTTTCCTGGAGCCCCTGCAGGCACTGGAAGGTGCTCTAAGGTCTCCCTGGAGCCTTCTCTTCTCCCGACTGAACATCCCAACTCTCCCAGCCTGTCTCCAGAGCAGAGCTGCTCCAACCTGGGATCATCTCTGTGGCCTCCTCTGGACACTCTCCATAAGCTCCATGTCCTTCTTATATTGGGGGCTTCAGGTGGGGTCTTGTGAGAGCCAAGAAAAAAGGGATAATCCCTTCCCTGGCCCTGCTAGCAGTTTCCCCCCCTTTGGTGATGGTAGCTGAGGACTCAGTGCAGAGACTCACTGCTCAAAGTTGATGTATTTCACCACGGTTTGGTTCTCTTCGTTGTGCCACAGAGCCCAGATCTCAGCTGAGGTTAAGGCAAAGTCAACCAGAGTCTCCTAGCAGAGAGGCAGAGCACACATTCACCTTCAGCAAAACATTCCCTCCAATCATTATACCATTGGGAAGAGGTTTGTTTTCTTCCTTTATTCCCTGGCACTCACTCACCTGTGAGGAGAAGAGGGAGGAGATGTGGTCCAGGCTGTAGCGGTTGCTCTCAGTGCTCACCAGCTGGAAGACACAAAACTACAAACACAGTTGGTCAGTGGTGGGCTAAGGGAGGGTGGAGCCAGCAACCAGCAGGTCGTGGGGAAGTTGGGTCTTCCCAGTCCCTGCTGGGCTTCTCCCAGGTCCCTGAGCTCATCTCCCACCACTGCTAGTGACAACACGACATGGGCAAGTCAGGAGACTCGTGTGGAAAAGCCCCAAATCCTCAGGGATCTCGTGGCAAAGCAAGCTCTGTGTTCTGCCTGGAGCAAGCAGAGCACCCTCGGGACAGCAGAAGTCATGACAGGCTCCTACTCTATGTGGAAATTCCCTGGAGGAGGGAAAGGGTAAGCTGTCCAACAGATGAGACTGCTCTGTGCTATCATTCCCCTCCTGCTACATTTAGTATTCACGGCAAGAAACAGTGACTTCTGGAGAAGGGGACACTTGGCAGTGCTCAGCGGTGCCTTTGCAGGCTCCCAGGAGCTCGATGGAAACATCCTATCCAGATTTCCATGCTTTTAGCTCCTTGTGGCCCTTCCCTTTTCCCACGGCACATCTGTGCTTTTGGGATCCTACCAGAACAGGAGGTGACCAAGCGACCTGGCCCTCACTGCTCAGCTTAAGTCACAGAGGGAATTCCACTCCCCGGGGGAGGGCACGTGTATCCCGCCGCGTCTGGAGACCAAAAATGTTTATTCAGAACATCCTGCTCTCTCTAGACATCAAACTTTTCCCTATTTCTTGGCCAAATCCAAGGAGAACAACTG